ATTTCATCAAAATTTACCTATACATATGATAGAACAGGTCGGGGTAATGCATAAATACCAATCACTTCCACCATACATGCAATTACAGTCGCGTCATAGCTCGCCAAAAAAAGTACATTTTCGTTTTACGGACTACCTAAATGACCTTGACCCCGTGACCTTGGTGACCTTGAATTTTTGAAAATGTTTTTAGTCCTGCTACCCGATCCAGGGGTCAAAACTGCCAAAATCGCAAAAAAAACGATTTCTTATTAGGGCTCCCTGCCTACAAGGCAAGAGCCCTATTGTAATTGTTTGATTTATTATTATTAGGGCTCCCTGCCTACTAGGCAAGAGCCCTATTGTAATTGTTCGATTTATTATTTATTATTATTTATTATTCAGGCGTTTTTTGTTCCAATCGTAACGACAGAACCAGTAGCCAGAAACTCTTGAAAATTTGCAGCAAGATACCTTAGCTCCTGAAGCAGATACCACAAAAATTACAAGGCTCTAGGCTCAAGGACTAAGGGCAGGTAACTCATAACAATTTCAAAAATTGCAATTTCAGTAGCTGATATCTCCAAAACTAATGCTCCAATGACTTCCAAATTTCTTGTGCAGCTGCGGTATCAGATGCCCAACAATTTCTCTTCACATCCAATGTAGCAAAATTGCTTCGTTTGGCTCCTATATTGGATTAGAGGTTTTTGCACTGTTTTTTACCATTTTCCTCAGTACTTGTCTCCCAAAATCTGCTCAGTTCAAACTACCAGCTCAAAAGCTTCCAAACTTTCCATACTTTGTCTCCAAGTACCATACTACCAAGTTAGCAGAAAACATACTTAAGTCTTGTGTTTTCCTGATAGCTTATGTCTTGGCGATTCCAGAACACCGAACCGTTTGTCTGTAGCTTAATGGACAACGGAGCTACAGCTTTTTAAAAATGGTACTCTTTGGCACCCTGTCATAAACTTGCCAAATAGCAGAACTCCAAACACCTGTAACTCCGAAACAACCTGTCCGATTTCGGCCAAATTTTGTGTGTGTATGTAGAATAGGGATGTCTGTTACCACGCTCAATTGTAGCGACATAGGAAATAAGACGACGGAGAGAGAAATTATACATAATTTATGTACAACAACATCTTTCAACATATTGCTCCTAACCAGATCATTCAATAACTGGCAGACTAGGCAATCTTTAGTATTTACATGTGCAATTCGATATTGAAATGCAGTCATAAATCACAAATCCTACATACATCAAACTCTTATTTCACATGTTTTGAAAATGTCATTTTGTGGGGGTGACAAAGGTGCTTTACGAACTCTTCAAACATAAGACACTGAAAGAAGCAGCCGTAAAATTTACAAGTAAGTCCCGTTCACTGCATTTCAATCGACAGCAATACTAGTGCATACGATTTCGTTCTCTTGGCGCTATACGCTCCATTATTGTCGGTAGACCAGTGGTATAGGTTTATTTATATAACACATTAGTACGCAAGCTTTGTGTCTGGTTTTCGGCTATGGACTACAGAAATCAGTTATCAGGGTCAGTGAGATACAGTATTTATACAGCTGATGGACAACGCAAGCAGAAACGGACTATAGAAATAGATTTACGTTTGCGCTCGTATGTTCAACGGTTCTGCATAGAAAACAGTGTAGCTTGGAGTAAATAACGACATCGTATGTTTTGTCATGTGAAAGCTCATATCTGCATCAATTGGCGCGAATTCACAATACACATTGTCAACAGAGTTAAGCAAAGAACTGCGAATACATGTTTATTGGCCTCACAGTGTGTTAGCGTGCCTCAGTCCCATGCGGCTGGGTCGGTCGGTCTGGTGCATATTGGAACGTGATTCACGTGCACGGTAATGGTATGGCGAGACAGCTATAGCAGGGTCATCCGAGAGCGACGTGTGGGCTCCTCCAGTCAAAACAGGACCCTTCCTCCCCACCCCCGAGGACACCTCCTTCATAAATCTTTTTCGGACTGTGGGATTTAAGGTAGGTTTGTGATTGAAAGTTTGATATCGCTGAACTCGCCGATAATTTTACTCATACTTGTCATAATTGTATTACCACAACTTCAAGTAGTATCAGACGGGGTTATATGTTCACTTCATGTTTCGATGGCAACGATTTCTATAGTCTGTTTCTTTATGGATTTTCTTCACGCTGCTTTCAGTAGTCTCTGCCAGCAGAAAGCACGCATTTTGTAGTTTTGTGATTGAAACTTTAATTTACTGGTACTAGTCATAATTGTATTACCACAATTTCAAGTAATAACAGACAATTTTATATGTTCACTTCGGTTCGATGGTAGCGACTTCTATAGTCTGTTTCTGTATAGATTCTCTTCACGCTGTTTGTAATACATTCTGCCAGCGGAAAGTTCAGTTTCCCGTACTTGCACGGTAGATCCATCCAGTTGCTCCCTGTCTAAAAGGATCGTTGTATAACATGTTGGGTTTTCTTTTTATAAAATGCGTTGTTTTTCCTTGGAACGGATTTCCGCACTATCAAATTACCCTTTTATAATGCGAACATGTTCATTATTGATAATTCCATTTTTTTCTGAAACATCCCAGATATAATGCCAACTTTAGGTAGTATTATTTACCAATTTCATTATGGTTTACAAACCAGTCCCTTTCTTAACATACTTAAGTGCTATGGTCTCTATTGCGTTTACAGCTTATCTACTTTTAAACTTTTATCACAAACGCTTGGAAGACTGGTGTTTTCTTTGCTGATTGGTTGAATTGCTTCAACAAGATGACAACAGGTGACTCACATGTGTTGTTACTGTTAGATAACGTCCCAAGCCATCTCAACCCTTAGCAGATGTCAAATGTCAACATCCATTTCCTGCAAATTACAACAAGAAGCCACCTACACCCCCTGCATGCTGGTATCATCCATGCTAAACAGGTCCAGAGCCAAAATTGACTTTCTTTCTCCGTCAAAACGGACAGGTGAAATATCCTATTGATAATCCAGGTCATATTATAGTCCTACACATTAGTGCATATATCCTTACTCATATCGGAATGCACTTATATAACAGCAGGAGAAAATGCCTTAATGGTAATAGATTAGGGTCATTAAGAACTCCGTTTCAATGGTTACTAGAACTCTGTATAACCAAAGTGCAATTTTGTAAAAGTACTTCTATGAATGGAGAACAGGATCCGCTGCTTCAAATTACGATAGGGAGCCCGCCATCGCTGCTTGCAGCTATATTTTATTATTATTATTATTTATTATTCCACAGATATTTGTACCAGCGCTAGCAAAATAACCACTGGCCCGTTTTTGTTCAGATTTTGTGTGTGTATGGAGACCGTTGAGTACTAGATTCCCCTTAAAAAACCCAAGGCCGTAGGCCCAAATGCCAAGGGCAGATAACTGAAAAACAAGTATTTTTTGACGATATATTTTGCCCTGCTGCTCCACAACCGTTTGTCCGCTTACTTTCAAACCTTGCATGTATCTGCTGCTTCAGTTCCTTGACATTGTTTGTTCTTTGACTTTGGTCATTGGTCACGTGGTTTGGCCGCCATATTGGATTCAAGGTTATCACAGAGTTTTGGGGGTACCTGTCTTCAAATCCTATCTCCTCTGAATCAACTGCATGACATTTTTTCAAACTTTCTGAGAATTGTCTCCATACATATCACATCAAATTCTGTTAGCCGATTTTGGATATCTTTTTTAGTTGCGGCCATATTGGATTCAAAGTTTTCACAGTGTCTTTTGAGTACCTGTCTTCAAAACGCATCTCCTCATGATCCACTGCATGAAATGCATCCAAACTTTCTGAGAAGTGTCTCCTTACATAACCCTTCAAACTCTGTTAGCCGTTTTTGGATATCTTTCTTAGTGACGGCGCTATTGGATTTTGATTTTGATGATTTCCTTCACCGATTTTTTACTTTATACAAAGATCATATCTTGTTAGGTTCTCCACAGAAACTATTGAAAGTTGACATGAAGTAAGTCGGACATATGTGCCTCATCTTTTGTTCTTGGTTGCATGCTAAAAGTAACACCGCCTGGTGGTAATATTGACAAAATACTGAATACATCGCTCAGAAAACCTAGGGTTATCTCCCTTTGACCGTCAAGTGTCTTTTGCAGTATGTATACTACCCTTGAAGATGAGGGTTAGAATTGGTCTTCAGCAACCCATGCTTGTCTTAAGAGGCGATTATCGGGATTCAAACATTGTCTGGGTGGTAAATGGGTTTAGAACACTCTGGTTAACTCTGGCACATGTCAATTTCATAGCGGTGATGTCATGCAAACGGTGACTATTTGTTGACGGAGTTGGTACAGGCAAACCCTTTGAGGATTCGAACATGAGGATTCAAGGTCAGAAATGGGTTAAGAACTCACTGGGACACATGTGGTGATGTCTCGCAAGCGGTTCCTTACGTTTGACGGAGTTGGTACAAGCAAACCATATACGGATTCGAACATGGACGGCATCTGAAATGGGTTCAGAACATCCCGGGACGTTCTGGGACACGTCAATGTCGTAGCGGCGATGTCTCGCAAGCGTTTCCTTGCTTTTGACGGCGTCGGTACAAACAAACCATTTGGGGATTCGAACATGGACGAGGTCGGAAACAGGTTCGGCACTTTATCTGGTTTTCTTGGCGACAGAAACCAAAGGTCCTGGCAAACTCAGAATGCTAATCCGTTTGACTGTAGCTCAATTGATAAAGAAGTTATAGCCTGTTAAAGAGTCAAAAAGCCGAAAGGCTGAAGAGCCCCGGGGCCAGTGTTATCGTTTGATTTAATATTATTATTATTCCGCCGATTTTTGTACCAGAGCTAGCAAAATAACCACTGCAATGTCAGAGAGAGGGAAGGAAAGTTCTCCTAACTATCCTGTTGCTAAGCCTATGCTAATGGTGGTACAAACCAGTACAGTTGGCAACATTCAATTATTTTCAGCATGCACATTCTGGATATGGCAAGTTTATTCATAATGAAGTTACCTGTATGGTCCATGCTTTGACTTCATCTTTGCCAGATGTAAAGAAATAGATGAGATTAAGAGACTTGTATCCTGTCACTATTATTTTCTCCAGAGCACTGCAAAATTAATGGCATATAATGGTAGAACATTGTCACAAATATTTTGAAATCTAACTCAAAATAACACCACAGCATAATGTAGCACATCAAGCACAATATTCCTTTCTGCCATGGCCCTGTAGCTCACCTGGATATGTAAAGACAAGCACTTAACAAAAGTGCTGTCACCACTGATATTTGAACATAATCTGCATGCATACTGATGACTAACATCTTCCACGAAAATCTAAGGATTTGAACATCAACTGATGACAATAATAAGCGCCAAGATCAGAGAGGTGATGGAGGAATGGGTTAGGCCAATAAACAAAATAATTGGTTTGGGATCGGATGGCTCAAGCATTATCACCGGCATCAGAATCGGTGTTTAAGTGATTGTCTGTGCTTAGTACATGTACACTGCATTGCACATCATGTGGCCCTGGCGTCGTCACAGTGTGCAGCTAAACTATCAAAGTGCATATTGGATTACCTGACAACAATCAATGACGTGTATAAACTGTACCAGTATTCTGCAACACTGTAAGACAGATTAAAAGAACTTTCTACAGTTTTGGACAAAACAGAATTCTCCAGTGTCAAATAGCCCTGTACTGTAAGGTGGTTGTCACTGATTCAAGGTGTTACATCTACAAGAACTAATTGGTTAGCATTAGTCATTGAAATAGAGGAAGAGGCAGTCTAGCATAACAACACAGTTGCGGTGAATCTTACCAAAAACTGAAAAAGTTTTCATGTGCTGCAACTATGTACATGTTGTTCTCCTGTACATTGAAAACTTGTCACCGTCTTTCAAAAGGACAAGCTGAACCTAGCTTTGATACAGCCTATGGTGGATTCAACCATTGGATGCCTACAAGCTTTACTGGATGAAACTGGTACACATGAAAAGCATCTGAAGGAGAATGAAGTTGATAGCAAATTTTGTAGTGTCAAGTTGACGATTGCTGATCACCTTTCAAGCCAAATTAGTGGGTTTTATTGAAGACTTGATTCAAACATTTTGCAATCGTTTTTGTGCCATAAGTCTGAGTGTCTTGCAGTCACTGGACATTGCACTGAATCCCTTAAAGTACCTACAGGCACTTCAAGTCCTCACTGCTCATGGAGGGGAATCCCTCAACATACCATATTTTCTTGAGTATAGTGCGCACCCAAGTATCATGCACACCCCCCCTTCTGGTGAATTTATATCGCAGTCTATAGAGTGACCCCACATATAAGGCGACCCCCTTGTACAAGCCTGTAAAATCAATGCTAATTTATATAACCAGTCTATAAAGCAAATCGGAATGAAGCACGTCACAAGCACAAACACAATCCCTACATTTGCAATAAAAACATGTTTGTCTTCTGCAGAAAAATATTACATTGTTTCCCTTCAGCGATCAGGGAAACGAACAGATCAATACAAATTTCAAAGTTGAGATAAAAAAACAACTAGGCATGATCATTTACCGATTAAATTGTATTTCCTGTTCTGATAGGCATTGTTTTATACACAGGAATTAAGATTACCTAGTGTATTTTCTCGTAAACTAAGCCGGAAACAGCAATCAGCTGCACACACGTTTTCTTGGAATCTACCGGTGATTCGTTAAAACTTACCAAATGATATAACTTAAAGCATTTTGATGCAAGGATCGGGAAAAATTGTACCTGAAACTACTTTTTTAATCAGGATTAATATATTCCAATATCATGTTATTTTAGTTGCAGCTTTTACTAAATATATTTAAAATAATAATAACCCTAAGCGCAGCACTTTGGTGCAGCTGATTGCTGTTGCCAGTTATTTTTTTTTCACATGGAACAATTTGACCAGTCACCGTTGAGGCTCCCGAGCACATGATCGCAAGAACAATATGTTGACAGAGTTGTCAAATTACAACAACTCTGACTTTTAACAAGTCAAAGTCTGTCATTTATGATATATGTATCCATTCTCTGTCAACTAAAGTTTGTTTCAAGGCGTCAATTGCGGTAATCTGACCGTGGTTGCTGTTAATAACGGTGAGTTGTGCAGTCTTCCGATAGCTTCATACATGATTTCACCGAAATTAATTAAAACAATATTAAAAGGAATTTTGAACAAAACAAGAGTTTGCCAATAACGTGGCTATATATCCCCCGCCCCTGTTGCAGAACTTATGACATGATTAAATCTAAACAAACCTTAACCTTTTTTAACCGAGGTGGAACTTGTCATGGAAATTGTAAAAAAAAGAAGAGTTTGGAACCTAAGTCCATCTTGCTGCCATGGAAACGTAAAAAAATAAAAATTTCAAAAAATTCTAAATAGCAAAAGGCACCAGTTCAGCATGTACCTGACAAACCTGCAGAAAGTCTGATGAAAAAATATTGAACGGTTTATGAGTTATACTCCGGAAACGAACCCTACCCTCACAGAACCTAAGTCCATCTTGTTGCCATGGCAACGTAGAAAATTTGTTGAATGGTATTTCTGGTGTTACATGCTCACATTGTCTTTGCATTGGGGGAAAAAAAACATGAAAACTCATTATGGCGTGAATAATGCGCACCCCCTTCTACACAGCTGTGGGTTTTTTTTGGAAAAAAGTGTGCACTATACTCAAGAAAATATGGTACTTCTGATTCACTTCAGCCCAGTCATTGGTTCAGACAATAATGACACAGCACATCTACTTGATCTAGACTGTTCCAAAAGAGATTTCCAGCAATTCAAGCGAGCTGTAGCTTGCCTTGGCACTGTTACTTTTGAAAACGCATGCCAGGTCCTGATCAACAAATATGCTGACATACTCCCTGACTTTGAAGCACTGGCTACCATTGCGATCACAATTCCAGTAAACATCATACCTGCAGAGTGCAGGTTCAGCGTTCAGAGCCGAATCCACACAGCCTCATGATTCTGAATATGCATGCTGCTGATCATGAAATAAATTAACAAGAAAGAGAAATTTATTTTTTTTAAATGAGAAACTTGTGACCGCATGTACATTGGACTCTGAAGAAATTAATACCAGGTAATTTTCAAACATTTTTTTGTATTTGTTCAAAGTAGGGATTTGCCAAAATTGGGGGAACTGGTAGATATTAGAGTTGGTTGATTGGTCCAGTGTTTTTTGAGGATATGAGGTTTATAACGGACAGGGACAAACAGGCCAAAACATTATCTCACTTGACTTTTAGACAGATAAATTACTTACTACTCTTTTAATGCTTTTATCAGTAAAATATCACAAAATGTGTTGTAATAAGCACTTCATGTTGACGGCTCCAAATCGCCGCTGCAAACATGTCTACAGCTTTTCTTTTGAACATGATCTGAAATACTATCAGTTTAGACATTTTGAAGTAACTTTCAATCAATCTCTTCCTCTTTTCACTATCACCAACAGTATCATAGAAGTCCCAGCCCGACTTTGTGATGGGCACCCAACAGCATCAAAGGTTTCAGAACGTTTCCTTATACTTGTTGAATCCTGCAACTCACACATATACCAAATGTCCACACATTTTAAACAAAAATGGATGCATAATGGCCATAAATAGTTTTACAATATGGCTGGCTTGATTTACATAGGCTACTCCGTGTCTCAACAGACATTGGGAAAAGCATGTAGGTATTGTTTGTGACATAAACCTACCTTTGGGTGTTACGCTCCTTGAGTAAGGCTTCTTTGGCTTCATTATCTTCACCCATGTCTGCCAGTCTTAATTCCAAAGCACCACTGAACAGGATGACTGTTGCTCCAGGGTCATTTGCATCAATCCATTCTTTGATTCCCAATAACCTACGAAGATACATATATATTCACATGATCATGAGCTATGGATCTCAACAAACTTTTATCTATATACTATCATATAAGTAACAGAAAGTTCAAATCTACTATTGGTCACATCCATAACGATAACATCAGAATTCAGAAGTGTAAAAGTGCCAAAAATGCAAAGGATTACAGAAATTAATGATGTAGCCTCATCATCGCCTTTTCAGATTGTTTTGAGATAATTATTATGGAGACATATCCTTAACTGAAATTTTACTATAAGTCATTTCAAGTTCTGCAAATTGAGTAAAATCCTCTAAATTTATGTCCTATTGAAGGATGATCCCATTTGGTTCAAGCATAAATGATTACACTTTCAATTTAAGCTTGTCATGCCGATTGCAGTGACGATTTTCATTTTTAACACAAATATAATTAAGAAATATATTTTGATTTTATGAAGGTAATCGAGAATTCACATCATTGGTGTCCCAATGTTATTTTGAAAAGTTGGCAAGGTTTGAACCCATAGCACCCACCCTGGTCAATGAGCTCCAACGTACAAATCTGAGACCATAATACCAATTGCAGTGACCTGTTTGTCATCTCCATTATTTCTACATGAACATGAAGTGATTATGTTGCCACAGTGATGATTTATTAAGGTCAATAATGTTGCCTAGTACATTCAGATACTTCTTATCCAGGTTTAGTAATAATTGCATGAACATCAAAATAGTGCCCCAGCTATGCAGCTGACCTGGATAGGTAGTCAACAGTTTAAGATGTCAACAAAGACACACTATCCACAAACTAGATGCAGATTATTGGGGAGGTGAGAGGGAGTACTTTTTTATGTAAACAGACGTAGGTCCCTCATTACCATATTCGACGTAATAAGCGCCCAGGGCGCACTCCAAATTAGAAATAGGGGGCTCTTATTAGAATATTACTTTGGTGGAAAAAACAGAGTTGAAAGATAAATTTCGTGGTTTATGCTGACAGCCTGAAATGTTTATGTACGACAGATATATTTTTCCAGAATTTAATTGCCCATAATTAAGGGTACATTTAACACACGAATGCGTATTATACGCGAATAAATAAGTCTTATGTACATTGATCAATCGGAAGGGGTGCTAATTGGGATTGTTCACTAGCCAATATGTAAGCAATTATCGCCGTGGGCGCTTATTAGATCGGGGCGCTTATTACGTCGAATACGGTATACCTTTTGGATTCATTTGTCTAACAAGATCGCTTCAAACACTAATATTAGTTTTTTCATTGAACTGAATCACCTCAAAAGAAGACTAGATCTGAATGGATGACATAAATCAAGCAAATATGTGATAAACTTCCATGGAACTATTTTTCCAGAATAGAACATCTATGGCGTCACTTCGAGTTCTGATGTCACTTCTGCTGTTTATGTAGTTAACTTATGGTTCTGATGAAGTCACTTACGGTCGCTCCGACTTCAAGCATAAATCTAGCCATTATCATTTGGCCTGTCCTACATAATGATCAATAGGTACAATGATCTATCAAGGCTTCTGGTGTCGGACTCTAACCACATGTTATGAGATCCTTACTGGCAGCTGGAAACAACCCATTCAACATAGTACATTGACAGTAGCTGATAACGTTGTCAATCAAGCGGAGGCATACAGAACTGGGGGGATGGTATCATCATATGATTCAGGCTATGAATGATGCAGGCTTTGAAGTAGTATAGGTAATGATGGTTCTGGACCACTTCCACTGGAGCCGGATTCATATACCTATACTGCTACTACAGATGGAATTTTTTATGCTAAAATGATGATGCGATTCAATGACAGTCATAAGTTGTATTAAACGAAACATCAATATTAATTAATAATGGATAAAATTTACTATAGCCCACAAGGATATTGGAAAGGTATAGGAGCAATAAAAAAATTAGCCACCGCGGCTAAGGTATATAAAGATGTGGCCAAGGATTGGTTAAAGAAACAAGCGATGTGGCAAATATATTTACCGGCACCGCGTTATATACCGAGGAAGAAGTTTGATATTTTTACAACGAATGAAGTTCATCAGGCTGACCTCTTGTTTCTTCCCCACGATAAGGTAAAACGTAAAAAGTATAAATACGCTTTAACAGTAGTGGATGTGGCTAGTCGATACAAAGAGGCTGAACCATTAACCTCGAAAGAATCAACAGAGGTAGCTAATGCACTGAGCCGCATATATAAACGCGGACCGCTAAAATGGACTAATCTATTTCAAGTAGATCCTGGTCGCGAGTTTATGGGATCGATAACAAAACTGTTAACAAAGCACGATGTCAAAATCGTCCGTGGTGAAAGAGAGGCCCACCGCAGTCAAGCTATCGTCGAAAGATTTAACCGGACATTAGCGGAACGTTTGTTTGACTATCAGTATGGGATCGAAATGAAATCGGAACAATTGAGATCAACCGAATGGGTGACACGATTATCAGCCGTTGTATCAGCGCTGAATAATGAAGTAACGAGATTAATAGGGAAGAAACCATCCGATGCTATTAAAATGAAATCCGTGACTTCCGAATCTTCAGCACCGAGGAGAGGCAAAGAACGAAAACTTCCGGATAGAGTAAGGGTAAGATATTTATACCAGCCCGGGGAAATAGAAGGAGGCCTACGTCGCGCAACCGATCCAATATGGTCCCTTAAGACGTATAACATTAGTCGATTGGTTACGAAAGAAGGAGAGCCTATTCTTTATTATCTTCAAGATGGACCGGGTAGGGCATTTGTACGAGAAGAGTTGTTCATAGTTCCCGACGGTACGGTATTACCACCATAACCATAAGCATAGGTAGTTACACCATCATTATCAATCCATCTCTTTGTATCTAAGGGGGATAATGATGTCTTGTTCATTCTTAATCCATATATCCTATGATTGTAACTTCTTAAAGAGTTCATCTCGTGTTTGAACGTTCTACCGTTGAATAATGATTCTTTATACTGTTCGTGTTTGATATGCTTTTTTACCACATACTTCTTAACACCCTTAGCTTTTCTTATCTCTCCATTATCGGACTTTTTTATAGAATACATCTTAGGTCTTAATCCTACATACTCCGCTATAGGGGTCCCAGCACATTCATCCTTCATCTTACCTAACACCTTTTTATTTACTACGCTGTGCAGTGGATTATCTTTTGGGTAATCGCTCGTGTCGTACATATCTATTATTTCTGCCATATCTTTATACACATCCTCGGTTTGTATTTCCATCAACAAAGAATCTGTGTCGGTATATAACACCTCACATCTATCGCCGTATTGCTTCTTAAGTTCGTTGTAATAAAAGTCATACATTAAGTGTTTTGACAAGTCGAGAATACTCATACCGACGTACACCGGTCTGTTGAATTTTATATTACTCTTCTGCATATGCAACGCGGCTAAGTCGTTATCGAATATCTTGCTTCTGTTAAAAGCCGGACTGGCTATAAGTTTCCTGAGTCTTTCTTCCTCATTAGATCTGACTAATTTAACATCAACACGCTTCCTTAGATTCTCCATAGTTTTACCAAATACTGAGTTATTCATGAGCTTATATAGATTCTTTTCGAAATTGCTGGTAGCTATCTTTCTTAAATCTGTGTTCAACCTTATATAGGGCTCCATCCAAGGGCTTTGATCGAACTTTAGAACTCTGTGTATTTTCTTAAGTTTCATACCTAACGATAGATACAACTGGAGATTTCTGTAGTGACCTATATATTTTGTTTTATCCATCAAATTTGGTACGAGTTTTTCTACGTTAGCTAACCTACTATTACCCATCAAGGAGCGTTGATATTCCGACATCCAATCTTTATTAACCATTAATCTTTCGGGAGCTAGCGGATAACTGTTATGATCTTTATGTAACCAACTTGGATATTCCAAGTCAACTTCTAGTATGTACCCTTCATTCACATGGATATTATGGATATCATTCACTTCGATATCATCGACCCATTCAAAACCACCAGTGGGTAAAGGTTGACTCATAGCCCATCCGTACAAATTGTTAGCGTCGAGATATAATATGTGCGTGTCGGGTTTACTCGGATCGTATCCTTCCACTAATTTATTATTAGCCTTAGAATACCTTTGAGCTGCCATCGATATACCACCTCTTAATCCTTTCTCAATAAACAAGTGCATATCGTAATCTGTGAGTAGTTTTAGTTCTACGCCGGTCTTCTTCAACAATGCATCCCACGATAGTCCGGGACTGGAATAGTACCATGCCGGGTCCAAGCCGTATTGTTTTAAACATGTCTTTCTAAATATCTCGAATATATCGGCGAGTAACAGTACATCGGTTTTTAAGTACAGATCGTGATAATCCCCTAAATTCTTACAACCTAATTTATCCCAGACCGTCAGAGCGTGTTCATAATCGGCATCGGTTATTTTAGATTCTGTTAAGTTACTATAGAATGATTCAAGGGGTGGTAATTCAGTTTCTTCGAATCTAGACCAATCATCCATATATTCGTAAGGATATACACCTTTTCTCAGCAACAAATGATGCGTTAACCTATCGGTATATTGATTTGTTATCGCAAAGTCATCGGGATTGTTCGCATTAGCTAAATTGTCCAGGGAAGATAACAGAAACTGTACTGAGTCTATGAATCTAAGCCCATTACTTTGCTTTATTCTAGATTTCCCATCCTTGTCCCTATAATGTATAGGTTTAGTCAACGAGAACGATATGTATTTTTCCATAGTGTTAGGAATGCACGTTAAACCGCCGTCGGTCTTTGAGATAGCTTGCATGATGAGATGTGAATCGTATCCCCTAAGGTTATGAAACACAACGGGGATGGGTATTGTTTCAGAGTTCATTTTTAGTTTCAAGTTACACTCGTTATGAGCGGCCCCTCGATAATTACCCGTGATGTGACAATGATCTCTTACGGAATCCCCATCCAGGAGTTTATTACAAACGTGACAACTCGTTGACTTCTTATGGGCCCTCCAATC